GACCTCCCCCTACAGAAATCACGCCAAAGCCTGTCTCCTGGAGACAAGCGTCAGCAAGTATCCCTACCTAGAGCAAGCAAGCAAGCATGTGTCCCGGATCTCTGGAAACAAGATGTCCTCTTGGCTATCCAAGTGACAAAACTGCCCCCAGGCCACCAGTGGCTGCATCCAGAGGTGAAGGGTGCTGTGGGCTGGGCCAGGGCTTCCCAAGATAAATCTGCGTGGATGTGAGCTCATGCTGTGGTCCAAGCTTCCTGTGTGTGTGTGTGTCAAACCTCAGTCTCCCCAGCAATACAAGGAAAAGGACTGCTGTTGGGAGCAGCAAGACCCCAGATCCTGAATTTCTTGTAAACAGCTTGTTTTACCCTGATCTGAGTGCCTACAGCTGCTCTGAGCACGAGACCTTCAGGAGTTCCTGATGGCAGGAGAGTGGTTTCTGGTGGGTTTGGCTGGGGCGTGGCTATCTCTATATAATCTGCCCCTGAACACAGTAAGGGGGGCATTCTTGGGGCTTTGGGTACCAGCAATTGAAGGTCTGTGTGTCAGTCTGTCTCTGCGTCTGTATTCTCAACCTCCAGCCTCTTTTCCCAAAGCTAGCGAACTGGGTAATAGCACACCAAGAGCAGATACAGGGGTGCGGTGTGCGGCAGACTGCAATCCTGGGCCTGATCTTGGCTGGAGTCTTGGCAGGGCACCGGCCTCCAGTCCAGCAGGTTCAGCCACAGCAACCCCCACCTGACCAGTGTGCCAGGCCCTTTGCCAGCAGTTTAATGAAGGTGAGACCCCAACCAAGATATAGACCACAGGTTCCCACAGAGGAATCACCTCTCTTTCACCCCAGGCCCCTGACATCCCAGCTTTCCCAGCTAGAGGAAAGATCCTAAGCATCTTGCCGTCTGGACCTCACCTTCCTGGGTAGCATGGGACCCTACAAAGGCAAGGACAAGACTCTGCCCTACCCCACTGCCAGGAGCAGATAGCATCACTGACAAGAAAAACACATGTGGCTTTCCCTGAGAGGCTCTTGGTGAGCACAGGCCACATCAAGACAGGCAGGCATTTGTTTAAGGATGGAAACCTAAATCCCAGTTCCTACAAGTACAAGGAAATCTGAAACTCGGGGTGTCCCAGGGCTCAGGCTCACCTGCTTCTCTCTCCCATGCCATGTAGGCATGCCTCTGATTCTCACAGCGGGAACCATAACTGGCTTTGCAACTGACCGGGTTCTCTCCCTGCTGGCCCAGGTCCCCACAGCAGCTCACACCTTCATAGCCGCTACACAACCGCACCGTGCCACATGGACCCACAGAGGCGAGGCCCTGGCTGAAGAAAGGCCCACCAGGACCTCAGACCCAAGCCCCTAGACCAGCCTCTTCCTGAAGATGTACCCTTCCTTTAAAAATGGCTCATGCCAGGGCAGTGGGCTCAGACCTGGACACCCAGCACTTTCCTCCAGCTCAGGAAAAGGTCACAGCCTGTGCTTGGAGAAGTTGGTATTCATGATGACATGCATAACAACAACAACAAAAAATCACTCACGCAGTTAATTATGGTGCAACTGGTAAGGGCAGGAACAATTAGCCACGTGTCTATTTTGAGAGTGCCGAGCAGCTAATGACATTTATGGCTCGGCAACTGCTCTAGCTGGGAAAGACAATGGGGGCACACTCCTACAACCAGCCTCCTGGGACGCAGCCACAGGATCCCAGTCCCAGCTCCAAGACACAGGACTTGTTGGCCTAGAGGTAGGGTCAGGGAAAATAACCTGTAAAATCTGACTCAGTCCTTTTTCTGAACGCTGCAACCCTTTACTACAGCTCCTCATGTTATGAGGACCCTTGGCCATAAAACCATTTCATTGCTACCTCATGAACTGTAATGTTGCTGCTGTTATGAATCATAAATATCCAATATGCAATCCCCCATAGGGGGAGGGTCGCAATCCACATATTGAAAACCACTGGCCTAAGGGTTTGGCTAGGTTGTCTCAAATCTGGCCTGACAAGTTTTGGGATCACCTGGGAGACAGGCCTCTGTGCACGCCTGCAAGTGGTACTCTTGATTTCAGAGACCCCGTAGTGGGTGGCATCCATTCCACGGGTTCCATGGGTGGATCCGCAGTCCATCCTGGCCTGTGTAGTGGAGAAGGGGAGTGGATCAGTAGCAGGCTTCCACTCTGCTTCCTGGCTGCTCTGCCACCTTAGTTCCTGCCATGACAGGCTGGACCTTTGAACCCTTTCTCCTTCATTACTTCTGTCAGAGGTACTGAAGCAAGCGTCTCACACAGCCTTCGTTAAACGCATTCTCGATGTACTGTCAACAGCAAGGTCCCAAGTTTTCTCACGTCCAGAATTACACTTGGCTGTAGGTCTTGAATGTGGCACTGAGCTCACACAGCCTCAACCAGGCGGCCATCCAAAAGGTACCTGCATTTTCTCCTCCAAATCTGGTCTCATGCCTGATGGGGCCAGCCAAAGCCCTGAAAGAGCTGGGGTAGTGAGGGCAGAGGTTCTCTGTGGCCCTAAGTCAACAGGAGACACGAATCGCATTGCTTTCTCTCCCTGATGTGCAAACAGCTAACTGGGACCCGAGACAACTCCTGCCCTGCTGCCGGCTAAGTGTCAAGTGGCCTCAGGAACCCAGCTCTAGAGTTTTCTGGTGCCAACAGCACCACTGCAGGACCATCTCACCTGGGCACAGACCTAAGTCTTCGCTGCGGCTGCTCTGGAGGACTGGACACAGCAGGAAAAGCAAGAGAGTGAAAGCCTAGTCAACCACACTCACAGGGAGTCAGCACCCTTTCCGTAGTCAATCGCAGGCCAGGAAGGTGAGAAACAAGAGCAGAGAGGCCACAGGAATCGTACCCCACAAATTCACTGTCCCTCTCAATGTCTCAGTCTCTCAGTGTTCAACACTGGAGGTGCTGTGTATTGAACGGTGTCCCTCCCAAAGGTTAAGGGGCATGTGGATTTGGAGATGGAGTCTTTGATATGGTCATCAAGCTAGCATGTTGCTTGGGGACCCTTGACCTAACGAGACTGGTGTTCTGACAGAAAGCTCCACAGACCCATGCCAGGAGTGTTCAAAGGGGAATGCAGAGAGAAGGTGTTGCTACTGCATGCCCAGGACCACCACAGAAAACCTGGAAGGCAAACCCTTACCACCTGGACCTCAGGCCTCCAGCCATCCAGTCAGGACCTGAGAATATTTTTGTGCATGGCCCCTGGTCTGTGGCCTTCATTACGACAGCTGTAGGAGATCAGGACATCAGTGATGTCAATGAAGGCGGAGTCTTCAGGTAAGCCTACCCACCTGCCAGGAGTAGAGGCTCCAGTTACACTGACTAGGGGGCTAGGAGGCATGGCACACTATGACCACCAAATATACCAGAGTGACAGAAACTCCATCCCTCTCCCGTTTATACCAGGTGAGACCATCTGGTCACCTACAGCCAGGCTTACTAGGGTATCCATCTATCCTATACACCCGACCCCCACCCCAGATGGTCTACAGGATAAGGCCTAAAATGCAAACAGCACAGCTCCTCGGTATCTTCTGGGTGGACAGAACGGAGGACTGGCCCTACCTCCAGCCCCCTGGGCCTGCCCTCACAGTTAAGCCCCAGATTCAGTCGGACCAGAGAGCAGTCTTGAAAGCATTATCAGAGACTCTCAAAAACTGGAAAAACAGGCACAACAAATACAGATAAATTTGTTTTTAATAAAGGAGTTAATTTTCTTTCAATCCTATATAAAACAATAGCAATTAAAAACTTCATTTTTGAAAGTAAAATATTTACATATGAACAAGTAACTGTGCAAAATTTACATGAAAAAATGGAAAGACAGGATTTCCTAAAAGATAAAATGAAAGGTGTAACAGTTCTCAGGTGTTGATAAAAAATACTGATCAGCGTTCCGCTCACACGTGCGAATTAAAGTCTAACATGAGAATCCACACGGAGAAAGCCAAAGTATTTACAGTCATAAAAGTACTATCAATAGACAATTTAATACAATAACCTCTGAAAATATAAAGAACCAATTAGTATATTTGTAATAAAAAAATAGGTACAAAGAAGGGCTTTGCTCTGGACGCCTGTAAGGTTGGCCACAGCTTGCATACAGTCTCTTAGCAAAATAATTATAGTTTACATAGCCATTTTATGTTATGTGCCAAAAATTATGTACAATTACCGACAAAATACACCAACCATTTCCAACACTTGATCCACACTGAGAAACAGTCTGTTGTTGATTCTTCTCAACTCTGATTTATTTCATCTAAGTTTTCACTCTGAGCTAAAAACACAGTGCAAGTAAAATATATTTATGCTGAAAAGGTTCTCGCTTCCTTCCACTTTACAGCTTCGAAACTGCAGCAAATAAAATGTATTTGTACAGGTGCTGCACCCCAGCCTCCACTAGCAGAAATGCGACCCTGCTTGGAGGCTGTGTCCTGGGGAATTTCGCGTAGAAGGGAGGTAAGGGACAGGGTGGGTGGGTGGGTGGGGGTGATAAATAGTCTAAAAATCAGTTTGCTTCGCCAACTGACTGCTACAACAGTAACGTGAGTGAAATGAGGTCACCGGCTGCAGACGTACACCCAGTGGGTGAGTCAGAGTGAACTGAACCAAGACGCACACAGGATGAGCAACTGCTAATTATTTGCTAAGCGCTTCCATCAGTCTTTAAATATGGCTTGTTTGGCAAGAAGGCCACTCAGTCGAGGATGAGCTTGGGTCAGCTGTCCTGTAAGAGCATCCACAGGCCTGTATTCTCTCTGCTGCAGACATGGTTCTGCCGCGCTGAAGAGCTGACTTAGAAACAGGAGTATAAAACTGCTCCACTGTAAAGGGTGGCTGTTTTTAAACAATATCCCGTTTGCTTGTTACAAAAAGGCGTAATCTGCAAATATATAAAAAAGTCCGCAGGCATCCCATCAGAAACACGGGCTGGCTCATCCTGTTACTTAAGGAATGCTTTGTAGAGCAACAGTGAATGGCTTGTCTCACGCTCGTTTTCTAAACAAAATATGAGGTCCCTGAGGTTGACCCGCGTGATTCTTTGCCGTGTGAACTGTCTGGGGGTTCCCACACCGGAGCTGCCTGGGACCGCTGCGCCTGGGCCTGAGCCCTGGTGACAAGAAAGAAGAAGACAGATGCATTAGTGGCTGTGGAACAGTTAGGAGGGAGGGTGAGACTCAAGAATCCCCTAAATATCTAGGTCCCTGTTCTGAAGAAAACAGGCACAGCACAGCCCCTTCCGCGGTCCTTGGGCTGGAGCTGAGCTGCTAGGAAAGCCCTAACTAGGGCAGAGGCCCCCATTCCCGGCTCTACCACATACTCAGGATGCCACCCTCCAACGCCCCCAGAGTGAATCCTGGGGGGAGGAAAGGCAGGAGCAGGGGCTCCCTCCCAGAGGCTCTGAGGAACACAGACCCCAGTTTCTGTATCACCATAGCAATGCCCAGAGGCTCAGGTGAGGGGACCAAAGCTCACACTTGATGCCACACCTGGGACTGTGCCATCCCTGCTTGGCTGACAGAGGCACTAGGCCTGGATTCTTGGGCTGGGCGGGCTGATGGTCAGCTGGAGAGGCCAACTGCTCAGCGGTCACGTTGGTGATCCACAGCCAGGGAAGGGGTCCCTTTGCAGACACCTAGCCCCTGGGCCACCAACTATCCAGTGAGCCGACCCCAGTTCCTTCCTGCTCAGACATGTGGGTGCACTAGGGCTGACTTTCAGCCACTAGGCAGTGGTGTCCAGCAGTTTGTTATATCACTGCCTCCGTCTGACCCCTGCTGGGCTCAAACCATAAGATCCCAGTGGGCAGCTTTTCTCTTCTTCACAGCAGAGAACCAGGCGGGCGTCTTTCTGGCTGAACTGCTCCTGCACATCCAAGAATACGTGCTGCAGTGGCAGCCTCACTGCGCCTCCACTGCGAAGCTAAAGAAACTCAAGTATCACATTCCACTCATGTGGCCACAGAGGCCCAAGCACTAGGTGGCAGTCTCAGGAAGCAGGCAGGCTAGGTGAAAGCATGCCTATATGACCTGGTCTTCATGCACATGTCAGTCAACTGAAGATACTGGAGTTTTTTCCTCAGGAACTGGGAAGCCACACCACTGTCCATCTTTGGTCCCAGCCGCCACCATCATCCTGGTATCCATATCCTTTTGGGTGGACAATCTCCTTGGATTTTGGTGCCAGTAACAGCCCCCAAGCAGCGTTTCATCATGACATTAGTGGAGCCTCTTACAGGCCACAGCAAACATGAGCAGTTGGTAAGAATAAGGAAAACAATCCATCTCCCCAAAGCCACCTCAGGTTGCAGTCGGGCAAGCAGGCCCATAAATTTCCTTCAAAGGGGGTCTTGGTGATCTGGACAGAGCTACAGGCCAGTTTCTGGGAAGAAAGCCAGTAAGAAGAAGTATCTGTAACAGGAGTAGCAAAAGGAGAGGCTGCTGAGATTGGTAGAGTCCACAGGTCCTAAAATCCGGTTGCAAGTTGAAATCCAAAATGTCTCATTTCCGGATGTGAGTTCCACTCTTGTTGTACTTGCTATACCTGATCCAAATCGCCCTGACTATAGACCCAAGAGAGAAACTCGGGCGATGACGGTGTGGTGCCCAGGCCCACAGAGACCCTGCCTGGGCAGCAGAATGTGTCAGTGGCCAGTGTCCAAGCTGTATTTCATGCCTCTGCTTTCAGGAGCAACAGCCAACACCAAGGCTGGGATGAGGGGAAGCACTCATATCAGGTACAATAGTTAAGAAGTGCTAAAAGTCAGAAATTGAGACAAACAGGATCAAATCGGTGCCCCAAACTTTCTGACGAGCCAATGTTGACAGTGATGAGGCTCAGACAGCTTCATGTAGTCACAACCAACCTGGGCCTCCAGCCTGGTGGTACATCTGTTACTGCTGGACCCAATCAACCTGAGGGGTCAGCAATCAAATGACAATACAACACAAATTCTAGGGGCCTTGTGTTCTAGGGGCCTTCTTCATTAGCAATACTGTGGGGTTTGGGTTATAAAATCAGAGGCACAGAACACTGGATGCTATAGCCATTTCTGAGCAAGTACAGGGCTGACCACAGCAAAGAGGACTCAAACCCTCAGCCTCAGGACTGCGACCAGCTGACCTCAGTGAGAAGACAGTGTGGCACCCAAGCATATCCAAAACCCTCAAGGGCTATGGGAGTACACACAGGTCATCCGGCCTGGAGTTGCAGAGGACCCTGGGGAGGTTTAGCTGAAGTATAGGGAGGGAGTGGATATATTCCTGGCCTCGGGGCTGGAAGCTTCTGTTCAGAGCCCTGTACAGGGACCGACAGAAACAAGGCATGTTCCAGCGCCACAGAAAAGCTGAAACCTTAACATAGTTAACTCCGGTTCAAAGAACCCTCTGATGTGTTTCAAGGGTGGACATGGAGACAAACAAGACGGGCATGTGCATGGGCGCGCACACACACAGCAGCCATGCCAGGGAAACCCTCCCTGTACTGCTGTGACTACCCACCTAGCCCACCCAAGGCTACTGAAAGGACTAAATGTGTGTAATCTCAGCTATCTAGCTTGCTCTATTATGGACGGACTGCTATAGGGTTAGGGTCTGTGCAGCAAAAAGTAGTTCTGTGTCCCAAGGAAAGTGCTGGGCTCCCCAAGGCTGCAGGGCTACCATACTGCAATCTAGTTTTTCATCAAGGAGTCCCACTCCAGCAACAGACTGGAGTTCTGTACCCCAAACAGTGTGAGTCCTCGGAAGACCCTAAAGCCGTAAGATAACTGTCTCCTGATGAGCGAGACAATGGTAGGCCATCAGAGCAGCACGTAAGAGAGCAGCCTACCCGGTACCAGACGAGCCCTACTCACCTGCAAAACTTCTGAAGAACAGTAATACACACCCCAAAATTCCCTAAGAAATGACATCACTTCTAAGAGGCTCAGCGCCAGGACCACCCCCTTCACCCACTCCAGCACAAAGCTCTAATGAAGCCCTCAGAGAAATTACCCCCACACAGAGTCAGGGGTATTAGAAGAGAGGATCCCACCCCAGGGCATGACCACACTCCAATAAGGTTGCTCCTGACAGGTAGAGACACACAGGAGACTGGAGAACAGGAAGGAACCTAGGACATGTGCCCAGGTAGTCCAAACTCAGACAGTGAGGAAGGATCCCTTGTAAGGCTTTATAGGTCCTCAGATGGCAAAACAGAACCTTCCACACATGAAGGGAAGGGGAAGAAACAGGGAAAGTTCAGGGTCTGCAAAAAGGTTCTCAGAGTCAGCAGACACTGACATGGCACAAGCTAGACAGAGTTCCCAATACTGCCAGGAGAGGGTGCCATCACCCCATGAGTAACGTAACACCAGGGGCCGTATGTGGGACATAGAGCACAGTCACAGACCAGCTTCTGGTCAAGCTGAGGAGATCAAGGGCAGCACCGTGCCTCTGAGCCATAAGTAACAGGCCCCAGAGGCTCAGAAATCAGAAGCACCCATCTCACAGAGAGGAGAGACAAAAATCACCTCAGGAAGGAGAGACCAACATGAACACAATAAAGAATGCTAAGCAAGTCCAGGAAAAGGAGAAAGGAAATCAGAGAAGAGAAGGAAAAAAGAGTGGCAAGGGTTAGAAAAGCACTCAAAGAAAGTGCCGGCACTACATAAGCAGAAAGATCAAGGCTTGCAGCACAGTGAGGGCCCCAGAGCAAGAGCACCATGGCACCTGTCATCATCAGCAAGAAGCACTGCTGAGTTGGAGAGGCTGGCTTCATGACACACAGAAAAACTATGCCAAGACACAGGTTTAGTTAGCCTCTAGCTGAGTAGGGAACAGCTACCAGGAGGCCAATCTCACAGGACAAGGGAGAAAGGGAGGCAGAAAGTGTGAAGAGAAGATACCATTGCATCAAAGAAACAGCTATGGGACTAGAACATTTTAAACTGTTTAAGGACAAAAACAATCACAAGAACACAAACATAAACCTGCCTTAGCATCAACAACCTTCACAAAGAAGACAAGTGTGAGCATGAACCCCGGCTATCCCAACACATGGGTGGTGAAGGATCATGAACTCAAGGTCAGCCTGGGCCAGAGCCAAGTGGCTAAATCCAAAAACTGTAAAGAAATCAGGAACAGTGGCACACTCTCAGCACTCAGGAGACAGAGGCAGGTAATCTGTGTGAGTTTGAGGCCAGCCCGGTCTACGTGGTGATTAACAGGACAGCCAGAGCTACACAGTGAGACCACCACAATAATAAAGATAAAAGAAAAAATTAAAAATGTACGTGTGGTGGTTTGCATGAAAATGGGCCCCATAGGCTAATAAGGAGAGACACTATTGGGGATGTGGCCTTGTTGGAAGTGTGTCACTGAGAATGGACTTGGAGGTTTCAGGTTGAATCCCAATATGTGTCTCTGGGTTTTTACTAATCATGCCTCAGGTCAAGTGGCACCACGAGGGTTCAGTCCCTCTTCAGGATTAAGGACAGAGTCCATTAAGACTCATCTTAAAATAGTGAAAAGCCACACACAGAGGTATTGTTTTGTGCTGTGCTGTGGTGTGTTAGTTTGGAAGAATTGCCCCACCTCTCCACAGAGCCTTAACTGAGTGGCTGCTGAAACAAGAATCCAGCCCACACTCTTCAGGAAAAACCACCGGAGCCTCCTCATATCTGAACCAGGATGCCTAGCACTCAGGCAACAGTCTTGACATGCAGTGAAACAGGGAAGTGGTCCACACTGAGAGAGAGCAGTGAGGAGAAACTGAGGCTGGGAGGGAAGCTTCAATACACACGTTCAAAGACTTAGGAAGGATGCAGCCACCATCCAGACTTCCACATCTGCCACACAACGAGATAGGAACTTTCAAAGAACCAACACATCAATGGGTCTCAACCTTTCTAATACAACAACTCTTTAATACAGTTCCTCATGCTGTGGTGACCACCCCACCATAAAGTCCTTTTCCTGTTGCTTCATAACATGAACTGTAATGTGAATGCCTGTTTTCTGATGGTCTTTTGGGGTTGCAGCACACAGGCTGAGAACTGCTATATGCGCTAAACTAAGTTACATTGGTAAATGAGAACATCACTGGAAATTAACAACCAACACGGGCTGGCAGAACCCCCATCAGGTCAAGAGGAAAAGGAACAAGGCCATACCAGAGTGCAGTGCATGTGTAACAGGACACCAAGAAGACAGATGGGACAGAAAGGCACCAGAGAAACCACGGCCCAGGTGTGCCAAACGCACTCTAAAGCGGAGATCCACATGTGGATCTGAGCAGCTCAACAGACGGAATGGGCTGAACGCCCAGACTTTAACTAACAAAGAAAACCTCATAGAGAAAGATCCAGAGTCCCAGCAGTCTTCAGGGAAACTGACACATCACCCACTAGCACCTAGAGCTTTGCAGCCAGTGACTGGCAAACACCAGCAGACAGGTGGGCCAGAAGAGCACACCAGCCCAGCCACCTCCAATCCCCCAGGACTAGTGATGCAGACCCTGGATCCTTCATAGGAGAAAGGACAGCAGTGAGGACAACCGAGAATAGATACAGAGGGAGGCTACTACTCTTCCTAAATTCAAATGACAATAGTTTAATGGAAAATTAGGGTGAAAGCTAAGACACTCCACCTTTGGGCTCAGGAAAACAGGTGACACCTTCTCTAAGTCAAATGAACTGCAGGTCACCTCACACTGGTCTGAGTTCTGCCCCATGCTTTTCAGAAGTTGGTCTGAACCTCATCAGAGACAACATATGAACACATGTTTTAGCTCATGTGACATGCACAAATAAGGTGACTTGAATGTCAGGTTTCCACAATGCAAAACAAAGACCAGGAGCTCTGCTGGCTACTGAGGAGGGGACTCTAAAGCACCCTCCCAGGCCCTCAGCCCTCAGCCCCATGTTCCTCCTGCTGTACCTCTACTCCCGATCCAGGCCCGGCACAGTCCACTTTCCTCTTCTTCCGGGGCCCGATCGCTGCTAACGCAGTGAGGTTGGCATCTCGCTGTCGCATCTGTGCCAGCTCCTGTTGCTGCATCTGCATGTTAGGAAGGAAACAAGAACTACTGTTGCTTCAGAGTTCTTACTACAGACCAGCAACAGTTATCAAGAACTTTCTCAAGTTTCCTAAGTCACAACTTCTTTAAAGTTTAGGTTTTTCAAACTAAGAACATGTCTGCAACCAAAAATATTAAGACTTTTTAAAAACAGAAGCTTACCTGGAAATGCTCAGAAAATGAGAAGAACAAGTTGAAGGGGCCTAACCCTCACTTCTAGAGAAGTCACCATGAAATCTCCAGCCAGTGCCAACTGCACAGGAAGAGCCTGTGATGGCACTGGTCACCTGAGAGCTCTAAGGAGCAACTAACGCCCTTAACTACTCTCTTTCTTGCTGCACAGGCACTGAAGAATCTGTAGCTGGGAAGCTCACCTCTTTTGCTTTCTGCTTCAACCTTAACTGCTCTGGGTCTTCCTGTCTGGATCGAGACTGTGTGAGAGAGAGGAAAGGAAGAGTCAGAAGCAACACTGAAGCGATACTACCACAGTCACCCAACAACAGCATCTAGTCAGAGTTCCTGATAATTTTATAAATGTTTATATCCAAAAGATGAAAATTTAAGTTACACACCATGAAAAACAGTCATCATTGTAGTGGCATTTCGTTTGTATTTTAATTAATAAAGTTTGCCTGAGGATCAGAAAAGTAAAACAGTCCCACTGGTCATCAGCCTTACACACCAGGCAGTGGTGACACACACCTTTAATCCCAGTAGCCACACTAGTTGCCATAGAAACCAGGAGGTGCATGCCTTTAATCCCAGTGGTGCACACCTTTAATCCCAGCATTAGAGAAGATTATAAAACAGGAGGAGACAGCTCACAGTCTCATTCTCAGATTCCTGGAGGCAGGATCACCATTTCAGACTAAAGTAGAGGTGAGAGCCAGTGGCTGGCTGTTTTGCTTTTCTGGTGGTTTTTATTAATCTGGATTCACATCACCATCATCCAGATATGACGACACAGACTCTTAGGCACATGGCTACTAGTCTGTCATAGGCCTCTGACTCAGTATGGTCTGAGAAGAAAGCTAGGACAGGGCTTCCTGAGACCCTGGGCTCAGGGCTAGAGAGGCAGCATTCAGCTGTCACCCCTGCCACTGCACAAAAGCTTAACACTGCGATTTGTATCTCTAAGTGACTCTAATAATGGAGGAACAAGGTTCTCACACTCAGCTCGGAATGCTCTAGACTGAAGAGCAATGTGATCCCACACCACAGTCTACAACATTGGGGAGGTAAAGTATTAGAAATATCTTAAGAAAGCCCACACTATCCGGCATGGTGGTGGGCACCTTTAATACCAGCACTCAAGAGGCAGAGGCAAGAGGATCTCATGAGTTTGAGGCTAGCCTGGTCTACATCGTGAGTTCCAGGCCAGGTCAGCCAGGGCTATATAGGAGGGAGAGAGAAAGGGAGAGAGGGAGGGAGGGAGGGAGGGAGGGAGGGAGGGAGGGAGGGAGGGAGGGAAAAGGAAGTCCACATCTGTCAAATCAAATCCCCACCCTCGAGTGCAGACTCCAGCACTGAAGCACACACACCAAGGGAGCCAGGCTTTCCTCAACCTATCCAGTCACAACACCCACTCCTCCACACCAGCCGGGAACCCAATGTGCTGCAAGCCTGAGCCCCAGACCTGGGAGGAGGGTTTAACTTGCCTTTGCTGCCCGCATCAAGATCTCCCTCTCCTGCTCATCTTTCCTCTGCTTTTCAATCTGATCAAGCTGTTCAAAAAATTTGAGCTGAGCCCGAACATCACTTGCTTGCTCGTATCTGTCATCATCCTACAAAAAAAAAATAGCAAAAACACTGCTCACCATGAATTTGGAACCCCGACAATCATGAACATGCTCTGTACAGCTGGACCCTCTACACACAGTTCCCATGGTGGTGGCTGTGCACAGCTCACTGCTCCAGGCCATGCGCTCACAAGGAGGGGGAAGTCTCATCAAGTTACCAGGAGTCTGACAGGTTTCCAGTTGATAAACTTTGATAATTTTTAAGGAACATTTAAGTCCTTCTATGTAGAAGTATTATTTCTGTTTGTGTTTTGTTTGTTTTAGTTTCCCGACACAAGTGTTTCTCTGTGTAGCCTTGGCTGTCCTGGAACTTGCTCTGTAGCCCAGGCTGGCCTCAAACTCACAGAGATCCACCTGCCTCTGTCTCTCAAGAACTGGGGTTAAAGGCGTGCACCACCACACCCAGCTTGTTCTTAAAGCTGACAATTGGCCATAAACTGCCCTGAAGGCACAAGCAGCCTTCAATGGCATCTGTGCAACTGCTCAAGACATATTTTGCCTGAAAATTCACTTTATAAACATAGGGCCACAGTTGGCTGAGAGCCTGCAGGTTTAGCTCATGCCTCAAGAAGGGACAGCAGCAGGTGGATGGAATAAGAGTGGAAGACTACAACTGTCCTAGCTGAGAGGCTCATCTTCCCCCGCAGAGCCCTGGGAGCCCTGCAGTGAGTACGTGAGCCTGTGGATGAGCACAGGAACAACCAGGACTCCAAGGCTGCCACACAGCCCTAGGTCAGGACCTGAGAGCATGGACATTCTCCCCAGGAAAATAGCCCCATTACCTTATAAGAGAAGTTTTTCTGCTGAGCTGTTTCAGATATTTTTTCTACAAGATTCTGCAGCCTTTGCTGTGTGGCATGAGACACATAACTCACTACATCTGGATGGAGTTCCGTGATGCCGTGCTTTTTACCTGCAGGCCATGCAGAAAAAGAGCACTTTATGGTACTTACCACACAGCTTTGCTCATCCACTACTTACTGCTTTGTACAATCAAGGGCAACCTAAGCAGTCATGCCCACCCTTCCACTACCTGCCAACCACCAGAGCAGCTATCATGGGGTGAGCCCAAACCAAGGCAGAGGGCACGCTCACCTACAGCCCCCGCACCCAGTGGAGCTACTGCAGAAGGGCTGTGCTGAGTCTCGTCAGGGTCACGGAGCACATCAGACACAGATCTGGACACTGAGCATCCTAGTGGCATCATCAGGAGCAAACATACCTATTTCCAGTATCCTCCTCTGCAAAGGTGCGGGGAGGAGGAAGGTGTCGTCTTTACAGGACCGAGTCAGTGTCCCCACCAACTCAGAGTTTGTGGCCAATATTCTTGCACTTTCTTCAGACAGGTTCACCCCAGCCATTGATGCAACATCATTGATGTCATCGTCATCCCTGGAGAGGAGAGGAGCAGAGGATTATGTTGTACGAGGAAATCACAGCTCCTTAAGGTGGTTCCAATTCGGTGGCAGCAGGCAGGTGGCAAGGAACCAGTCAGCTGACCTGTTCTCCACTCCTGCGGAGGGCATGAAGCCTCCACTGCTGCACTCATGTTGGAAACACACACTGACAGAGACATGCAGTCAGAACCAAGCAGAAACAACAGTCCTGAGGCTACCAGTGCCACGAACCAGTAGGAAAGATCTAACAGTGAGTGAAGTGGACAGCACACCCTCCCATGCTCTCCCTGAAGTACACAGGGCGTCAGTCCTTACCGAAAGGAGCCTCCCCCTGGCTCCTTGAGCTTGTTCTTCTGTGCAGCAGCTGCTTGTGCAGAAACAGTAGAAAGGGCTTTGGTTCCAGGTAACACGGTGGGTTTCACCACAGGGACTGCAAAGCCAAAGACACAGTGGAGATCAGAGACTGCTACCAGAGGCCTGATTCTGCTGGCTTTACAAGCCCCAAGGAGAAACTGACATCTTGCTCATTACAGCAACACTCTCAAAACTCTGCACCAGTGGCTCTGAACTGCAGACATGGTTAAGCTGCAGGGTTGGACTGCTCAGTGGTTACATACTTGTACTGCTCTTCAGAGGACCCAAGCTCAGCTCCCATCACCCATATTAAACAGTTCACAACACCTGTGACTACAGCTCCAGGGGATCTGATGTCCTCTTCTGAACTCTGTGCGCACCTGTACACACCTGTACACACACTGTATGCACCTATACACACCTGAACACACACTGCACACACACCGTACACATACTCTACACACTTGTACACATACTCTAGGCACTGCACACACCTGTACACACACTGTGCACACTGTACACACTGCACACACACGATACACTGTATACACCTGTGTACACACTGTATGCACCTGCGTACACACAGCACGCACCTGTACACACACTGTATACACTGTACACATACTCTACACACTTATACACATACTGTAGGCACTGCACACACTGCACATACCTCTACACACTGTACACACTGCACAAACAGCGTACACTGTATACACACTGCACACACCTGCACACACTATGCACACCTGTACACACACTGTATGCACGTGTACGTACCTGTGCACACACTGTATGCTCCTGCACACACACTGTACACACCTGCACACATACTGTATGCACCTGTACACACACTGTACAAACACTGTACGCACCTATACACATACTGTACGCACCTGCACACACTGCACACCTGTACACACTGTATGCACCTGTACGCACTGTACACACACTGTATGCACCTGCACACACTGTATGCACCTGCACACACTGCACACACTGCACACACACACACAGTCACAACTGTTCAAAGTGCAGAGAATAAGAGACTGTAGCACTACACCCCCTCCCTTCAAGGTTCAGGGAGCATCATAGAAGGAGGGGGTGGAAAGACTGCAAGAATGAGAGACTGTGGAAGACTCCAGGAAACAGTGTTTTCTAGACATGACAGGACCCTTGCACATATAAACTCCAAGCAGCTATGGCTACATATACAACACCTGCTAAGATCAAGCAGCATGGAGGGAGGGAGAGGTGGCTCAGTGGTTAAGAGCACTTCTTCTTCCAGAGGCCTAGGTTCGATTCCTAGCACCCACAAAGTGGCTGACAACAGCTCCAGGGGATCCAACACCCTCTTCTGGCCTTCAAGGACACGGGACACACACACAGTACACAGACACACACAAAGACAAAACAACCATACACACAAAACAAGAATAATAATGTTGTTGTGTGATTTTTGTTTTTTGTTTTGTTTTGGCTTTTGGTTTTTCAAGTCAGGATTTCGCTACAGCTTTGGAGCCTGTCCTGGAACTAGCTCTTGTAGACCAGGCTGGCCCTCAACTCATAGAGATCCACCTGCCTCTGCCTCCTAAGTGCTGAGACTAAAGGCGAGCACCATCACTGCTAGGCTCCCTCAACTCTTAAGCACAGGAGCGATTTCTGGCAGAGACTACCAGTAGGCAGACTGTTCAACTAGGAGACTGAAGCAGAATTACTGGAGCCCAGGAGTTCAGGATCAGGGCAAATCAGTGAGGTTGCCTTAGGGACACGCAAGTGTAAGGGTACAATCTAAAGGTCTAAGGGGAGCATGTACCATTATAACCTAAAGGTCTAACGGGGGGGGGGGGAGTCCTGTACCGTTATAATCTAAAGGTCTAACTAAGGGGGGGGGCGTGTACCATTATAATCTAAAGGTCTAAGGGGGGCGTGTACCGTTATAATCTAAAGGCCTAAGGGGGGCGTGTACCATTGTAATCTAAAGGCCTAAAGGGGGTGTGTACCGTTATAATCTAAAGGTCTAAGGGGGAGCATGTACCGTTATAATCTAAAGGCCTAAGGGGGGCGTGTACCATTATAATCTAAAGGTCTAAGGGGGGCTCTTACCATTGTAATTTAAAAGCCTAAAGGGGGGCGTGAACGTTATAATTCAAAGGCCTAAGGGGGGGCGTGTACCGTTATAATCTAAAGGCCTAAATACAGTGGAAAGGAACTGATAGAGAATTATACTTCGGAAGGAACTTTATTGGGAGGAGCCATGGTCAGGCCGTAGAAGAGGCAGAGCAACTCCAAAGGAAGCTTAATGGGGCCTGGAAGGGAGAGAAGAAACCACAAGGACAAAGCAGGTTTCTGAGTGGGAACAATGCTTCTACCACACGACTAGCCTATGTGCCTTGAGGGGGCACTGGGGGTCCTGCAGCTTCAGAGGGAGGTGCCACAAGGCTACTGCACAGCATACTTTCTGTCAACTCTAGGACAGAGGGGGTGGGGGCAGAGGAGGGAAGACTGGGGTGGTGAGAGCATGCAGGCCACTAGCACAGGTATGAGAGGGCGTGAGGCTGCAGGCGCCGTGGCCTGATGACTAGGAAAGGGAGAAAAACAGCCAGGTCTGTGACCTCACAGATACTAACAGGGGCAATCGTATGTAATTCAGGTAATTTAAAAACCACATTGACAAGGGCAGTGGTTGCATAACCTCATAAATGTCACTGAGTGGTGTGCATAAAATCATTTTTTAAATGTTGAGTTGTCTGTTACATGAATTTTATCACAATGATTAAATGAAATCAAATACTATCCCACAACTGGCCATTTCCGAGACTAGTCAGCCTTGGGTGGAAGCAGCCGGTCCTGGGTGGCAGCAGCAGGGGCCTCACCTGGCTGCAGCTGGTTCAGTTGGATCTGCTGTGGTGTGGTGAGCATGATCCGGTTGTGAGGCTGCCGCAATGCGACCATGGGTGTCTGCGTCAAGGTCACCTGCGGGGGCCGGATCAAGGCTCCAGGCTTCGGGGGCTGCTGGATCACCTGGGGCACAGTCACATAGTGCATGAGCACACACACACACACCCAGAGGCCACCACACTGACCCATGAAGCCAGCTATTTGCTTCATCAGCCCTGCCCCAACCTTGCCCTGTCAGAAGCTCCAGGAAAGTTGGATATACATCTCATTCCAGATCTAAAAGCCCGGTTCAACAGCCCTATAATAACCCTCTACACACAGCTTCGAAAGACTGAGACGAAGGCCACAGCGGAGCAAGGATATGGAACACATGACACTTAGGACCTGCCCCGGATCCTGGGGGGCAGCAGCAAAGCAAGACTACTGAGCTCAGACCCCGTCCTGGTGGCCACACTCAAGTGACTTCTTTACATTTTAAATTTTCTGTAGGACCAGGTGATTTTTCATAGGCATGAAGATGAGTCTCCAAATTCTGCCCTAAACTTGATCCTCTGGCAACACAGCCTATCCCCCTCATCATTCTCTGAACCATGCTTAGACCTCAGGGCTGGCTCAGCTCTGCCGTCCTGCCATATTGTGCAAGGCTTACAACAGGCTCCAAGAGCCCACGGCACTGGCTGTGCTCTGGGCACGGCTCACAGGAAGCCACTGAGAGCATGATCATAAATCTGTATTAGGAACTTTCCAGTAAGAATTATAGTTTTTGTAAAGGACAATTTTTGTGTGGCTGATGGTGTAACAGAAAAGTACGGTGTCTGCATAGGAGTCTGAAGCCCTTCTAGATTTGAACCCCAACTCTGCTTTAAAAAAAAAAAAGTAGAGGGTGTATTTTTGGTGGGACAGGACCTTGCAAGGGACTGAGACTGAGGCCTGCCCCAGAGCTGTTTCTGCAACAAAACATGGCTCTCACAGCTCAGGACAAACCCAGGGCAGTTCAGGCTGTGTTTCCACTGAGAAGACACTAACTGCAAACACAGGAAAAGCCCACTTCTACAGGCCTGCACAAAGCTGACCTACTGTACACACACAAGCACAAACAGAGTTTGGGGTGGATCAGGACAGCACAGAGCAATGGCCAGGTTACTGAGCACACCACTGCTCTGCTCACACCTCTGAAAAAGAACAGCACTGCTCTAGCTTCATTTCCAATGCTGCGACCAAACACCTGACCAGAGCAACTGATGGAGAAAGAGATTTATTTGGCTTACAGCTCCAGGTCACAGTCTACCACTGCAGGGAAGTCACAAAAGCAGAAACAGAGACAACTAGTCACACCACATTCATAGTCAAGAGAGAAAAAAAATAGCGTGTTGCCTGACCACTCCCTTCTGTTCAGCTGGTTTTCTTCACTAGGAAGCAGTGATGCCCACATTCAGGGTGGATCTTCCCGTATCAACCAAAAATCAAAACAACCCCCATAAAGATGCCTCGAGGCCATTCTGATCTAGATAACCCTCATTAAGAACTCTCTTCCCAGATAAGATTCTAGGCTGTACCAATCTGACAGTTACAGCCAACACCACAGAAAGGATGGGTCTGCTGGAGCCCTGGCACTCAAGGACAGAGGCCAGCCCTCAGAGGAGAGTAAGTCCTCCCAGAACTGCCCGCTAGGTAAATTCAATGTGCTGACTGCTCAGTAGCACAGTTCCCTACTTAAACTATGTGAAAGCAAAGGACACAGTAATCCCTGTCCCAGTGAGAAACCCTACTCATGTGGGGCCTTGAGCCTGCTGCCCACCATGTCTTCCTCACTACGAGGAGAGAGAAAACAAAGGCACGAGCTAGCAGAGGGAGGAACCAGCACCCCGAGGAGTCCGGCCTCCTCAGCACCCCCCATACAGCACTGCACCCCCAGCCACTGCTCATGGTTAAGCTGCATTCGTACAATCACAACTCCCTTCCTCCACCACCACCCAGAGCTGGAAACTAAACCTAAGACCCCATAAATAAATGCTCTACAACATTACACTACGTAGCCAGCCCCCTTCTGAACTTCACCTTTCTAGATGTGGTGAGCCTGCGCTGTTCATGGCAGGAGTACACTCTGAATGCAATCACAGCAAAAAGTCATCCTGCCCCGTCAAAAAATCCAAAGCAGATAAAGCCATACCCACCTGCCAGCAGCCCTCAGCTCCCCAAACATCGTCCAGACTACAATACTCCCACCAGCAGGCTCTACCCCAAAGGCAAAGGCCTGACCGACCCTCCTCCAACCCCAACCCCAATGGTTTGAACATCTGGGCATCACTCAAAATCCAGAGAGCATCCTCCTAAGAGGCACTAAGCACACTGCACTCCTGTACAGGAACCCCAACAACAAGGTGAGGAGCCTGCCAGTAAGTGAGCCAACAAGTGCACATCATTCTCCGAAAAGTTTAATACAAAGTTGTGGCCTCAACCTTCAGCTCACATTTCAGTTACTTAAGAGAACAACCGCACGCCTTTCCAGCAGGAGCTTCCTTGCCTGCTCTTTCCAGAAAGAGGCTCCGAGCCAGGGCTGCTGAGTTAAGTGGCATGGTGGCTGGCAAGAGCACCATGCCAGGCTCGCGCCTTCATACCAGTGGTGTGGGCGGTGCCTGCTTGCCAACGCCAACCTGTGTGGGCTGCGTGAGGCTGATGACTGGGGGCTGGAGGGCGCTGGTCACCGAGGCAGCCGTTTTCCCAGCTGTGCGCTGCACCGAGCTGCTCAGCACCACAGCCGTGAGTGCAGTCGTGGCCTGTGAGGCAGGTGGTTGCTGCTGCTGGCTCTGCTGGATGAAGGCCGCAGAGTCTGGGGTCAGCTGTCTCAAGGCAGGTAAGCTCCTCTGAGGACAGACAGACATGTGGGGTTAGGCACAGCTGGAGCACACGTGCTTCTACTGTCGTAAAAGCATAAACCTTCAAAAAAGTTTTTGGCTAATACTTCTATAAGCATTCTATAGACTGTCACTCAACTCCAACCACACTTACTGAACAGGATTTTCTTAGCAAAATCTGACTAAAATGAATTTCAGAACAAAATGCATCTCCAAGAGGCACCAATACTGTCAGGGTTCCCAAGCTTACTCTGTAAGTAAACCCTTCCCCACAAGGAGCTCTGGTGGCATGTGACATGCTACCCAACTGCACCACACTGCTGTAGCATAAGCCGTTACTTACCTTCAGGAAAGGCACAAGGTAAGGTTGAGGTGAAGAGTTCAGTTCTCGATATAACCTGCTAGTGAAATCTTCTGCTTCGATTTTCCCATCCTGCAAAATAAACCACGTTGGCACGGCTGTGACACATCTTCACACAATCATGGCACACACCCTAAACCACAGCATCACAGTGCTCTGGCCCTTCTGACAACAGACCATGTGTCTGTGTGTTGCTGCTCAGTGTACAGATGCACACCCCTAGGTGCACTCGTGTCTGGCGTCCCCTTGGACCCTGAGCAGCAGCTGGTGAACATGAGTCTAGCTGGTCAGTTACTGATTCACATCTCCACCCTCCCACAGGCTTCTCACTCAATACCTTTTCACTTTGGGATACCAGGCACCTACCCAGTGCCGGGCATTTTGTTAGGAAACAAGTTGTGGACAGAGTGCCAAGGGCAACACTTTAGCCCAGCCTTGTCAGGGAGTAGAGCACCTGTCAAAGAGACTGGCGCCAATGCAGCACCAAAGGGGAAGCCTTAGAGTCCACAAGCAAGGTACACATGGTTGTGTTAGACATCTGGGGACTCAGTGTGAAGGCTGGAAAACCCCATAAGACAGATGAGAACTGGACTAGCTTTCTGCGTGGACTACACTCCTGCAGTGGGGCAGAGTCCATGCTACTATGCGGAGGGGCACCACCGACTACTGTAACGTCCATCCAGGGCTTAAAAAAACCTGGGGAAGACAGTCGCAGGCAGAGATATAGCAGTATTTCTTTTGTATTTTAATAAATAAAGCTTGCCTGAAGATCAGAGAGTAAAACAACCAGCTACTGGCTCTTATCTCTACCTCAGTATGAAATGGTGATCCTGCTCCAGGAATCTCAGAATGAGACTGTGTCTGAGAGCTGTCTCCTTCTGTCTTATATTCCTCTCTAGGGCTGGGATTAAAGGTGTGCACCACTACCGCCCAGTTTCTATGGCAAACTAGTGTGGCTACTGGGATTAAATGTGTGTATTACCACTGCCTGGTCTGTAAGGCTGACCAGTGGGGCTGTTTTACTCTCTGATCCTCAGGCAAGCTTTACTTATTAAAATATAAATGATACCACAACATTTCCCCTTTTGGTCTAAAATTTTAAAAGGCTATAACTAATACAAGAAAACTATATATAATAAGTACAATGACTATATACAATATATACAGGCAATAAGTACACCAGCAATGTCTAGTCTATTTGCATTAACAAATTCAGAGAAAATACTTCATATTTATCCTATCTTGGTGAGTCCATGGTCTTATACCTAATTCACTATCCTAACTTGCTTTCTGCATCTGATAAACTATAGCTATCTAATCTTCAACTCCCTGAGAGACCCAAGAGGGAAATAATATTAACTGAGTAAGCAGGATGTGCAAGAAAGCAAGTTCCAAAAAATGTGAGAAATGACAGAAACAGCCGGCTGCTTGGACAGTCACCCAAAGTTCCTGCAATGTTGGGGCATCTATCTTCAGCCTACTGGCCTTGCACAACCAACAGACTTTTCTGTGAAGTAGGATACTCTGTAGGGCTGTCCCTCCTTGAATTGTCAATGTGTGGCAGTCATTTTCTTTTATTTTCTGCTTGTCCAATTAGGACAGCATACTGGTAGCAGTCAATGCAAGGGCTTGACTACTGGTTTACTTTTGCCACAAAGAAAGTAAATTCCATGTGGAGTTTCTTCAATGTCCATCATCTTCTCTAAAGTAGATTGGTGCTGCCAGGAGCAGACATGTTTCACTGTCATAAAAAAGAGCCTATGTTATTAAAACATCTTAAATGCCATATTCTGTAGATCTCTGAAGCGTTTGAAAATGACCTGTCTATCTAAAATATATCTTTGTTTGACCTTGAAAACATACCTAATGTGACTGCAAGTTTGAATATAATAGATTAACTACTAACCTGCATTTCCTTATATCCTAAGCAGTTGGTAATAATAATTTTCAAGAACTACAAATTTGCATGACATTGTTAATTGGGTTGTATAAATACAGTATTTTGAACAAGAGTAGAAACAGGTGTACAGTATATTCTAACAAAATTAATCTCAAATTTGTATATATACAAAATTTGATATAAAAAGTCCAATCCAATATAAAACATTCAAAACTAGGAGTTGTTTTTTAAAAGTAGATTCACTTAATCCACCTTTTTACCCTATCATATCTCTACCCCCCTTTTTTTCTTTCAAAACACTTTTTTTTTTTTAAATTTCATTTTCTTCTTTTCAAAACCCTTTCAGACTGAGGTAGCATTAAGAGCCAGTGGGTGGCTGTTTTGCTTTTCTGACCTTCAGGCTAAAGCCCAATTTCTGTCTCTGGGTTTTTGTTAATTGTGTACAGAAAGAAATGGTAAACTGTTGAGGACAGGGCTGTGACAGCAAACTATGTCCTGAGAGTAACATAACTGGCAGGGAAGAAGATGCCAGTGGTGACACCGGAGCACACCAGTCAGCCTCACTGAGCAGGGCAGAAGTGCGTAAGAGAAAATATGCAGGCTGGCAATATTTCTGATCCTGGGAATGGCGTGTACCATGAGCAGCTGGGCCCTAGTCTGACTGATGTGAAACCCAAGGCCACAAAGAGGTCATGTAAGAATAAGCTAGGAGGCCCAGGGTCCTGACCAAAGTGTAGCACCTTGTGGACAGCTGGAGAGAGCAAAAGAATGAACAGGACCAGCAAGTGGAGAAGACAGCACTGGATAAGGATGGGGCCTCACAGGCATCAGAGCAGAGCGGGCCACCCCTGCCTGGTCTGAAAACTCCTCAGGAGGAAAAGGATCAGGAGTGCAAGGCTGAACCAACAAACCCCAGCAGTAGAAATCACACACACTCAAAGATCAAGGATGTGAGTGCTATAGGTTACGAGGGACAAAATTCATTGCAGTATGAAGCAAGGAGCCCAGTTCAAACCCTGACTACAGCAAGTTGCTAAAATAAAATGTCCATGGACAAGGAGACGAGAGCACCAGCCAATGGGAGAGGTCAGTCCTGCACATCAGCACAAAGGCTTCTTTTAGAAACCAGCACTGAATTCTCAAGGTGTGGGAGGAGGAAGTACCAAGGGCAGCTGGGGCAGGTGCAGCACAGACCACCTGCCTACAAACTGGAGTTAAGGACCCTCCCTGTTGCCTTTAGAGAAGAGAAGGCAGGGAACCCCCTTAGCAGCACTGGCTGTCAGGTGCACACTCCTGCTACGGGGTCCAGTCTTGCAAGCCCTTCTTTAGTGCTGCGTCTCCTCAGGTGACTCATCTAAGTATAGTAGAAATGTTGGGGTCTCAGCCCAGTCCCCAGAACACTCAAGCCAGCAACCACACCCCCTGACAGCCGTACACACCTCTCCTTCTCCAGGATCTTCCACAAGCTCTCATCTGCCCACCCAGGTCACCCTAGCTGGCCGAGCATGGGCTGCAGGTCACATACCATGCTCTAAGGCAGAGAGTTTCACTGAGCTTCTTACCAGCAAGTTTTGTACTAATTCTTTCACATTTGCCGCCGTCTCCGTGGACTGTTTACCAGAAGAAGCCAGTTTTATTAATGTTGATAGAAAACTTTTACATTTCTTCACATTTTCCATAGTTTCCTGTATTAAAATGAAAAGGTATAAGTCATAGGAGATCTCATCACTGCAGTGAAAGGTGTACTGGTCTGAAAGACACATAAACTTAGCATTTAAACCTCTCTCAAGAAGCATGTTACCTCTTGTACAAGCTAGAAGCTTCTCAGAAGGGCAATCAGCTACTCTAAGGGCCACCAAGCCTGCATCTTTCAACCCAGAAACCCCCTTCTAGGGAAGGATGCATCTGCCAAGACTAAGCCCTTATTTCAGGAGCAGAGGCTGCTGCCTAATGTGCATGGCAGACTAAGTCCCAAGCAGCTCCTGGAAATGGCTAAAAGTACTTGTCAAAGAACACAAAAAGAAGTTCCAAAGTATGACCCTGACTTGTCCAAAGCGCCAGGTTCATAAAGGAAAAGCTGTGGAGTAAAAGCAGACAGACACACTGATGCCCAGACCACAGGTGTTCAGCAGCTACATGTGTGGCTTCCACAGGCTTCTGCAGGGTCCCTCGAGTCACCCCATAAAGGACTTACACAGGTCCCCTCTATGCCACCAGTACTGTCAGTTGGCTTGTGAGCCCTGCAGCATTCTCCAGCTCCTGTGTGCACCAGCTCCATTTCCCCACTAGCACCAAATGGCTGGTTTTCCCCTAGGGGTCCTGAAGGAAGTTCTTACCGTGGCAGCTGTGGAGGCGGTGCTGGCCCCAGGGACTGTTCGTTGAGGTGTCCCTGTCTGAACAGCTGTGGCCGTTCCAAGCGAGGCTGTCTGTGCAGAACCACCCAGAACCAGCTGAGGCTAGAAGAGTTCAGAGCACAAGGGAAATTCATCACAGCTTCTGGGGAAGTAGGGAGCCCAAACGGCTGAGTGTCCACACTTCCTGCAGCTATGTGAGGTAGAAGGGCACCCATGACAGATCTACAACTGAGGACCACAGTGATGACGGGAAGGTGTAGTTGGATCTGTATTAAACCTGAGGCTTGAGCCCATCACTGAGAATCAGAGTCTGAGAGCTGTCACAGCAACAACCTCCTCTCAGAAGCTGCTCCTCAGAACCCTTTTATCTGTGCAGAGCCCTGTAACAGGTAGCTGTGACCTTCAGGCAAAGCACCCCCACAGGGTCTACACGAGACCCAGAGAGGAAGGGTCTCACTCCCCACAACTCCCTGGTTAACATCCTGTGCATTCCAAAAGGGAGTCTTGCCAAAAGCACAGCAAGTTGAGACACAAGAGCTAAGCTGCTGGTGTGGCCACCCTGACTGTGAAAAGGTGCTGTCTGGCCAAGCCTAAGAACATTTGCAACACAAATGGGCATCTAGACTTCAAATGATTCAGACACTCCAAACCGCTGGCCCTTAGTCCTACTCCTGGTAGTCCTGCTTTTCTTGAGCAATCATGGTGAAATATTTACCAGTTTTTAAATTAGTGCCTCTCCAATTTATAAATCTGGCTGCCCACATTTCCTCACTGCAGGTTTTTAACAATGTCCGTCCCCACCCCACATCTGAAGGCAGAGAGCAGTGAGCATCCCACAGCCACCCAAGGGTAGCTCTGGAGCAGCATAAGGCAAGGCCTCAGCTCCCTTAGACCAGAGAAAGTCCTTAGAGTACTCCAGCCACAGATGCACCAGCATGACTCAACTCCAGGTCTACTACACCCTCCCCCAAGTTAACCTACATCTGGCAACGAATTCAGGGTGATAAGTGTCTCCGTGTCATAACCATGCATTGCCCTTGTGACTGAAAACCACCAATAAAATGTCATATGAAGATAAGGGTCAGGAACAAACCAAGAGGCTGACTCAACAAGCCAGGAGCAGCCAGAACACCAATTCTTACCAATATTTTCACTTTAAAATGTATTTCCCACCTGACTGCTAGGACCCAGGGATACGGACCTCATCAGACTGCAGACCCCACCTACCTACTTCAAGGCACCTGTTCTCACTGAACATGACACAGCTCACCATGAGCTTCACTGCCTTCTAGAGCCCCCTCCTCATCAAAAGAGGGGACACTGTGATCAGAAGCAGACAGCACTAGGAGTTCCTCCCAGAAAACCCCAGGTCTCCTAGATGCCAGCTCCTGAAACACACAGATGTCTCTGCTGCTTACCACAACCTGGGACAGAACTATTCTCCAAGCTGTTCTTACTCCCCACAGCTACCAAAGAAAATGGAGCTGAGTTCCAAGAAAAATGAGTTTAGAATGGCCCGTGTGTAGAGCTGCCCTGTAGCCCATCACCCAGCTCAGACTCTCACTGCAATGGAGGTGCGGCTTAGGCAGGAACATGGCAACTAACATCACATCCAAGTGGGCACATCACCTAGGCACAGTGTGACAAGTGCTTCATGGCAAAGCCCAGAGCCCTACATGGGATGACTGCTCACAAACTCAACACAGGAGCCCTTGAGGCTCTGCTTCCCACAAGAGAGGCCTTCCCTATCTAAATTTGCCTCCTCAGCCAAGGAGGTCTTCCAAGGCCAAGTATCTCTCTGATCTGTCTTCTCTGACTAGGAATGTCTTCCACTGCCAGGTACATCTCTTCAATCATGTTATATCTTCTCTGATCAGGTATGTCCTCCCTGACCAGCCCCTCCCCCAACTCTTAATTTCTGTTTTAACCTCTACAATGGAGGAGCCCCTGGAATGTCAGTTCCTCCCCTTGGTTCTATAGGCTAGAAGCTGCATCTCAGAAGCATCAACCTGTATCAGGTTATGACCAGTATCTGCGGGACACTCTCCCCTACCACTACCTAGGACATTATTTTACAAACAACTCCTAGCTAGCATTCAGTAGGCAGAGTCAAGAAGAGCATTCCAAGTGTGTCACCAGTGTGGTAAACACAGCAAGTCCCAAACCAAATAGAGTTACCTCCTGAGCAAATAGAGTTAGCTCCAGAGCTAAAGTAAGGAGAAGGAAGTGAAAGATGGACATTCCTAGGGTTGTGCCGTCATCACAGCAACAGGCCACAGGGGGGCAGTGTGGTCTATCCCCTGCTAGGAAAGCAACACGAGGGCGAACACACACACACACACACACACACACACAGAGCTCACCTACAAATATGCCACAGGAAGGCAAGAAGACCTGCATACAGCACCAGCACTATCCATAAGCATGTAATGGGCCACATATCACAGACATTAACTCTTCTTACCACAGACTCTACTTCCTCAAAGATGCCCTGAGTCAAATATTAATGAGGTGACTCTCCTAATTACACCTTATAACAAGCTTTTGAATGTTGCTTTTTTTTTTTAAGGAAAAGAATGTAGGCTATATTCAAACACAGAAGAAAAAGAAAAACTTTCTTCATTGAGCACCTACATCCTCAAATTCAACATGGTACCCAATATAAAAAGTCCTGAAGTCCAATCTTTGCATCAAAGCAAAAGCACGCTCTGCCAGTCAGGCAGCCCTACTGATGTGCCAAGCTGTATTCCCTTACCTGTACTCCAGGAGATCGCTGTAGGGTTGTAGTGGGCTGTACCGTCGTCTGGGCCTGAGACACTTGCTTAATTATGGTAGTTGGGGTCACCTGCCGTGCAATAATAGGTGTTCCTGGAGCCTGGAAAAAAATTAGGAGTCATCTAAAATGAGCTACAGTAGGAAACACATACATATATGCACACACATGTGTGCACACACGCACAAACTCCTAAATACATACTAGTGCACTCAAGTAATCCACAGCTTACTACTTACCCACAAAGAAGTCATCCTAAGCTCAAAACTTTCAAGCCAAAGAAAAAAATATATGACCAGAAACCTCACAGAAAGTCCTAAAACAGACCTTTTTAGCCAAGTCTACAAAATGCCGTCTTTTAAAGCAGACACTGGGAAACCCAGTGGTGGCACTGCTCTTCAAGTGACACCGGCACGCCCTGACAGTGAAGAGATGCCACGGCTGAAGAGGGGAAGGCGGGGTCGACTGGGATGGGGACACCTGGAGTCGCGTGAGGAGATGCAAAGGTGAGATGGTGAAGGCCAGCACACTGCCAGAGAACCTTCCACACAGACCACACACTCCCTACTCGGGAAACAAACACACAGACTTCAAAAGAGGTCTCTATGCTAGTCCCAGGGGGAGCTCTGCCTACCTCGGCACATACACCCGTCTACAGGACAGGACAGGCCTAGAGGAGTTCAGAGTGATCAGAATTACTCCCACCATCTCTTTAGCTGCCAATCTAGGGGAGGCACTACACAGAGCATACAACAGTGTGCTGGCACAGACCCCAAAGGGTTGCAGTGCTGTGGAGGCGGGGGCACTGCACAGTCAGACAGCACAGCTTGGCATCAAAATCTAGGACCTCAAGGCTTGAGAGTGGAGGCCTGTGTGGCCTTCGCTCAGCTCCACTACTCGCTCTTGGTTCTTCCCGACAGTCCATGACCTACCACATCTGCACTTACAGAGGAAGACACAGACACAGAGAGGTGAACCCACTGGTGGCAAGAGAAAGGTCAGGGCTCTGTCAAGGCAGCGGACCCAAGTGTCTATCTACTGTGACCCAACTCAGTCAGCAAGCTGAGCACTGACCACAAGAGCGAGAGCATATAGACTCAGCTAGGGGAACGGGAGACCAGAGCCATCCTATACCCAGCCTGATCTGAAAACACTTGCATGCCTCGATGTCCACTCACATAAGACACACCTTCACTCTTGCGATACTCCCAGTGTGCAGGGAAGGGAATGGGTGAGAGCCAGGCTGAGGTGGGGCCACCCCACGCTAACCTACTCATTGTGCACGCACTCACCTGCACGGCGGAGATCTGGACAGGTGGAGCACCTGTGGGGGTTGCAGGACGGGGTGCCATGGTGCTCTGAGGTTGGGCCTGGGCATGGGCCTGCATCTGGGCCAGGGCCTGCTGAGGGATCATTAACAACTGCCCATTCTCACTCCGCACGAGGACCATTCCTGGGGGACAAATGAGACTTGGCATCAGGAAGTGCTCCTTTCTCCAGCACAGGACGGCAGGGGCTGGCTGTACAAACACACTAAGACCAGGTGCATCCCTTTCACAAGGAACCTAAGTGGTGAAGCCAAGTTCAGTGGCCACAGCTAAAGACCCAATGTGTGCCCTGCAGTTCCCTCAGATGTGGGAACCTAATATGGTGCCCTGTCTACACTCACAAAGTGGCAGGCACCCCCCAGTGCAGGCTTCCCACACCCTTGAGTCCATGTCCTTTACACTTCTCTGTCTATACACTGTGTGCTCACAGTGCTGGGGCCCTGCCTCTGAGCGCAGGTCACCATAGGCCAAGTCTCTCCAGACTGATGCCCCAGAATGCCCAAACTACACAAAAGTGTGGTCCTATATTCTTCACAGGAATACTACTCTGGTCAGACATAGGGGCTGTGCTTTCTCCCAGGTGACCAGGCACTGTTCACAACAACAGGTACACAACAATCTCTCATCCATCAAAGTGCTTGAAACTCCGGGAAAGCAAATTCTACCAGTCAAGCTTGACTAATTTTGGCTTCAGGTGAGCAACCAATTTGTACCCTAAGTTATAGAAGCAATAGTAACACACCTGTCTTAAATTTAACGTCCACATCAGAGTTACAGATGCCCTCAGCCCAGCCCAGCAGGACACAGTTCCAAAGTAACACACTCACAGGAGACAGGAATGCGGGGGTGAGGGGGTATTGAGACTAGAACCTCCTGTAAGTTACACACCCAGCAAACCCTGGACTTTCCTCTGTGAGGAATAAGTCAAAGCAATCATACAGGAAGTCTCTGATGCTATCAAGTTCTGAGTATATCAGAAACAGCAGCAAGGCCTCTTTGAACTCAGTTAAAAATAATGTTTGTTGTTTTTTTGAGACAGAGTTTTTCTGCATAGCTTTGATTGTTCTGGAACTCGTTTTGTAGGTCAGGCTGGCCTCAAACTCACAGAAACCTGCCTGTCTCTGCCTCTTGTGTGCTGGGATTAAAAAAGGTGTGCTCCACCACCACCCGACAAACTCAGTAAATTCTTAATCCCAAAGTTCTGTTGCTGGGATTAAAGAATTGAATGTCCCTCCAGAACACCTCACACAACCACAAGAGCACATTGGTGGCCAGTGTTTCCCTATGGACCTAACAAGGTACAGGCAGGTGTCTCGGAGGTTCTGTCTGACTATCCTGTGGCAACTGTCACACATCCCCAATCACTACAGAGTACGGTCCAGTCCAACTGGTGGAGCACAGATTCTGTGGACTTCTGCAAGAAGCACGTCTTCCCTACTGTTCCCTTGGCTAATGGGGTCTTCTGGTCAAGAGGATCTCAAAGCCAGCCTGCCTTCAAGCTTTGAAGCTCCTCTGACTATGAATACCCACTACAGACACAGTGGAGCCCCAGCCAGCCCATGGTGGCTCACAGGCCCTGCCTTGGCTCCATCCCTGATCTCTGACTAAACTCCTCATTAAAGCTAACATTACCCAGTTCCTCCAGCCATTCTCAGTGAGGAGGTTTTTCAATGTCACCATGCAAAGAACAGGTGACAACAATAATCCTAGACACCTGGGACAAACCTAAAGAGACAGGTGTACAGGTGCCACCTCCTTAGAAAACATCTGCTAACAGCAGTAAGAATGCATTAGGGTGCCCTTCAGTGCCACCTGCACCTCCAAAGCACACAGGACGGCCAGACGAGGGCGCCCACACCGTACAGAAGACACTGCAGAAAGGAAGAGGAGAGATGTGGGAGAAAGGGTGCAATACATCGAGGAGGTCGTTTCAGACGCGCCAACAAGAGATGAGAAAAAAGGAAAGCAACCATGCAAGATGGCATGTCCTGGGCAGGGTCCCTGGCACTGACAGCAGAACTCTGCCATGTCAATAAGGAAGTGAGACAGTACCCTCCAGACCACACAGGACACCACTGATCACTTCAGGAAAGGAAGCCCAGAACTCACATAATGCCAGCACAACTGGGGGCTCATAGCAGACAACAGGCCTGCCACCTGCCATCTGCCATCTGCCACCTGGAAAGCAATACCCAGCCACATCATTGCAAGAGGAAGGAAAGCATTTCAGATGCTCTATCTCAAACACGTGTGTCCTGAAGAAATGCGGTGACACTAGGACATGAACGTGGGTTTTTCCCCGACTGAGGGAGACCTACAAATGCCTCAGAAATCCTCATAGACCACACAGCAGCCTAGAGAATAGACACAGGCCAAAACAGAAGGACAGAAACCTAGTGAGCAAGGACAACGTGACAAGCACAGGCAGAAGACTTGGATCCGCCCTCTCTACACAAGACTAGCGCTCCAGGAGAGAAAAGAACACTGTATTCTAGAAATCATTTATGTGGGCAACTCACAAACCCCAACAACCTCAAGGTGCCACTCTTCTCCAGAAGCAAAAAGGAAACGCTGGTTACCAATCCAGGGAACACAGACAGAGGGCTGACTGACATACAGCACACACACAGTCACTGCCCTCCCACATCTCAGAAAGAGAATTACAAGTAGGCAACAGATCCCTGCAGACACCTCCCAGAGATGAAAGACATACAGCCCATAGCAACAAATTAGCTCAGTGTCACAGGCCAGCATGAAAAGTGCAAGTTAAACCCACAATGCGGAACTCTCCACACCCACTACTACAGCTGAACTGGTGATGTGGGCAGAGAACTCCCAGAAGCACGAGGTGGACCCCGAACACCATCCTAGACTCTTGGGAAATGACACGCCCCGTGATGAGGTGCAGCCCTCCACTCCAGTCTACCTTAGAGACACTTGGACCTGAGCTAACTGAAGCAGTCGTATTTCTGACAGCCCAAAACTGGGAACAACAAACACCATTAGAGAGATAACCTCTAAAACCTACAAAATGGGAAAGTATTCAGAGATAAAGAAATGAGCTACGGATACAACACAAGTGACCCTCAAATGAGAACACTTAAAGTGGCCAGGAAAAGGTCCACACTATATACTTCTGTGTTCCAGGACCCAACTCCAAGTGACAGAAAGAGACAAACAAGTAAAGGCTGGAGCATGGAGGAAGAGCAGAAGTGTTCGCGTGGTAGGAGGCTCACTATCCTGACTAGTGAAGACGAGGAAACTGCACCGAGATATGATGAGAGGTTGTGTGTCAGCTGCACCTCCATAAAGACCTAGGCACAAACAAGCAAGTACACACGCATACACAGGCATGCATGCACATGAAGTAAGAACCAGCTAAGGCCTAAAGACAAGTGCAGTCCTGATTAGCATTTCCAGTCACCATAACACAAACAAACAGGCCCTGAGTAACCTCATGCTGCCCTCACACATGGTAGGCACACTGACAGGCAGTTACATGCAGTCTACCCACTCAGGATCCCTCCCTCCCCCGCCAAGTCGCATTCTGCTGATGTGCCAGGTTCACCATAGAGCAAACTGTGAAGTTCACTGACAAGGCTTTTACTGATGCTTTCTTATCCATCAGTTTGCGGACAAGCCAGAGCTCGCAGGTCCTCTTTCCCCTCTCAGGGTAAAGAATCTGGTGGCCAGTGTAGATGTCACTGTCCATGTGCAAACCTGCACAACCCCTCACTGCCACTGCCTCAACTGTCGCTCAGGGGACATGCCACCTCTCCAGCAGCTCCTGTCCTGGTAACCCCACTCCTACTCTGCTCACTCCTGGAAAACTCTCCCCAGCCCTCACTTCCCAGTGAAACTACACACTCATCCCAGCTTACCCAGTGCAGAACTGCAGCCCCCCCAATTTCCAGACTACTCAAGTTCCTTTGACCGTCCTCCCCACACCCCACTGTCACACCACCTGCCGGCCTCCACTCCAGCTTCCACACCTGCCTGAGTTGTAACTACCTGTCACCTGAGTCGGGAGCAGGTCTCCAACACTTCCCTCCCACCGCAAGACTGAGCTCCAGTTGCTGAGAGCTGAAATGGCCCTATGCCTGCCTCCCTTCCCACTGGCAGCCCCCAAGCATCAGGAACAGTCTCTGTACTCTCACTCATAGGCCCAAAAGTTGCAGACACAGAACCTCTTCAGTCCCTTCTAGCTGCCAAGCAGACCAGTTTTCCCACACAGCAGCAGCAGGCTCGTCAGACAGTTCCTCACAGATACTAGCTAATGCCTGCCGTCCTCCAAATCAGCTCCATGGGGACAGGAGCTAGAACCTACAGAAGCCTTTACTGCCCAAAATTAGTAAGCTTCTATTCATCTGTATTTCTCCTTCTTCCCGCCACAAATCCTAACCACTGGATACGTCTCATTTATCTCTTTTCAGAGCAGGATAAATATAGTTGACTGTAAATTGTTCTTGCATTGGTTCCCCCACCCCTGTCACACACACACAAAATCATCAATACCATCTTTACAAAAATCTCAAGTCCCAGCACTGGGAAGGCTGAGGCAGAAAGGCATGATGAATTTGAGGCCAGCCTAGGCTATGTAGCAAGATACTGTCTAAAAACAAAACAGACACTGGTGGGGGGGGGGGACGACGACACTAACATGACGGCTGACAAACGGCATCAGCCTTCCATGAGTGCCAGGCCAGTTAAGATGAGCAATGCAGAGCCTTCCCCCACGGAACCATACCACTCTAGGTCTGTTTACGCCAGCATCCATGCTAACTGAGATCTGCTTTAATGTGTAGGTAGACACAGATTCAAAAGCCTATCGCCGTGGCTCAGTGGAAGCAGGTTCTGTACCTCCTGAACCCAGAGCATCCACTCTGGATTTTCCTTAACCTCTCCTCAGGAAGTGCTCACCTAAAATAGGCAGAATTGCTTTTGTAATCAAGGAGGTTGTTTCAAACTCAACCCTAAGCTAGCCTGCAAGCACGAAGGTCAACTAAGCAAGGCAAGGCTGGAGGAGGCCAAGTAGCCAAAGGCACCCTGGCTGAGGCAGTCACATCCGTCAGTATATGACAGTACCAGAGACTTCTGCTCTCTGAAGCTCACTCAGGCCGCTCCT